GATTTGCCTCAAACTTCCCAAATTCTTTAATGACTTTTGTCTTGTCCATAGATTTATATATTAAACAGAATGAAACATGAATTGTTACTTGTGATAAACTGACTAGCATTTTGATCAAAGTCTTAGATAAATATATTGAATGCTTATTGATCAAACTTAGGAATGATACAAATCTGAAAGTGATAACTAATATTTTTTGATGAAAGGATATAGAATATCAGACCAAAATTAAAATTTTAATTAAAAAAGGAAATTTAGTAGGATACATATAAAAAATACAAATTACCCGGCCCTCCCTGGTGGAGCAGTGGGTTAAAGCACAGCACTGAGAAGCTAAAGCCACTTCCGCATGAGTTCAATTCCCACCTGCCCTGGAGGTGACCACATGGTGTGGCAGACCTCTCCTGACCCGCCCGCTGCTCCCCTCAGCAGTGTACTTCGTCGATCTGCCTGTTCTGTTCCCCACTCTGTCTCTGTTGAGGCCTCTCGCCGCCCCTGAGCCTCTGGCCTGTACCCCAGTTCTGTATGCAGAAATAAATAAATCTTAAAAAAAAATACAAATTACCCAACTGTAGGATAGGGATAAAGAAGACCTATGTTAATAACAGTTATTGTGAAATTTTGTGCTAAGCATTTACTGCTAAGAGAATTTACTGCTAAGTTAAATATAAAATAGAGTAGGCTCCTAATACTCTGCACTGACTAGACAAATATCTGTAATTTGTGTTCAGTTCTGGAAAGCACGTGTGGGAACTTGACATCTGAAAAGGTGTCAATTTTAGCCTAGCAAGATGTGGACAAATTTTTTTGACATGCCTCCTGTTGAGAGATGAATTAGAACAATTGGGGTCTTCCAAGAAAAGAAGAGAAGAGAAAAAACTTTTGGAGCTCTGAAGGATGCCTATGGATGCCTGAAATTCATCTGGATGGGAGAGAGAGCACTGATCAATTCTTTCTTGAGAAACTACAGGGAGGTAGATTTTAAATTTTTTAAAAAAAGATTTATTTATTTATTTATTTATGCATACAGAGCTGGGGTACAGGCCAGAGGTGTAGGGACCATGAAAGGATTCACCAGAGACAAAATGGGGAACAGAACAGGCTGACCGACGAAGTACACTGCTGAGAGGAGCAGTGGGCAGGTCAGGAGAGGTCTGTTGCACCATGTGGATCACCTCGGGGCAGGGATCGAACTCATACTGAAGTGGCTTTAGCTTCTTAGTGCTGTGCTTTAAAAAGCTATACCACCAGGGAGGGCCCAGATTTTAATTTTAACTGAACTTTAAAACAGAATTTTATAGCAGTTGTAGTTGCTCAGCAATAAAATAGGTTGTTTTGTAGCCTGGTGAGCTTTCTGTCACTCAGTGTGAAGGACTAGACTGAAATCCTAACTTGTGATGCTGGCATGCTGGTAAAGGGACTCTTGGGATGAGTAGGAAGGCATCTGATTTGCTCTCTGGGAACAAAAAAAGACATCTGATGAGAAAAACAAAAAAATCACTTCATGCCTCCCCAGGTTTTCAAATTTCAGCTGTATCTCTCTTGTACATGCTCATATGGCTTAGTAGTTAGGGAAGTCTGAAAATTTAGATCGCAATTCTTTATAAATCCCTTCCAAATCCAGATGTTGTCAAATTGCTTCACTTCTGATTACTGCCAGACAGGACTACCTCTTAATCTTCTGAGCCAGGATTTGTTTCATTATGAGGAAATTTAGTAAAGCACGGGTATATTCCCAATGCACATCTTTTAGCTTCTGTGTGACTTTTATTAGTGATATAAATGAAGAAGTAGTATACAAATGTATCTTCAAGACTAAAATGTTAGCAAACTTTTCTAATTTTTCAACAGAGATTGGATTTACATGCCCTCCACCTCTATCCTCGTTATCCCATACCCCTTTATGCTCTCATTACCTTTATTAAGACCCTTGACATTGAACATCTTCAAGTTTTCTCACAGGAGAAAGCCCCAGTTTGTTTGCTTGTTTGTTTTAAAAGATTTATTTATATTATATACAAGAACTGGGGTACATGCCAGAGGTGTGTGGAAGGTGAGAAGATACACCAGACACAGAGTGGGGAGCAAAATAGGCAGAATGATGGAAATACATTGCCTAGGGAGCAGCGGGTGGGTCAGGAGAGGTCTGCTATGCCGTGTGGGTCAGCTCCCTGGCTGGGCTGCTATAGCTTCATAGTTCTGAGCTTTAAACTTTTGAACTACCAGTTTTTTCTATCAGGATTTCTACAGTTGTATTTTAAAAGTGTATATATTGAGGACATATACATTTTTTTCAAGTTTTGGAATTGTTTCTAATTTTGGAATAGGACCTGGGGATTGGTAGCAATGGTCCTTATCGCATTTTTTTGGAAGCAACCTGAAAATATACAATACTCAGTTGTATATACTACATTAGGGTAATTGTGTGCCATTATACAGTAGTCACTTGGTCTAAGCAAATTAGCAGCTCTAGGAAAGTTTTAGTGGCTATTTTCTGACTGTGGCTTAGCTAAACGTTCTTAATCCAGAGCCTAGAATTTAGGCTGATTGTGTAAAAGATGGTAAGAAAGATCTTGACAAAGGCCATTTGTTGGTCTGGTTGAACATAGAAGCTGCAGAAGAGAGGTATACTAATTGGTGAAAAGGCTGTGTCTTTAGGAATGTGAGTACAAAACAAAACAGTTAGCTTGACATTCTAGAGTATCAGAAGTGATGAGTGCAAAAATCATTATTCAGTAGTGATCACCGAGAATTATAATTCTATTTTTGTCCTTGATTGTCTGCTTGCAGTGGGGACAGTTTCTTTAGTATATGGACTCCTGCGCTAGATAGGAAAACTATCTGCTTGTTTTAGTGGCCCACTTTTACTGACAAACACTTGTTTTAAGTTGTCATAATTGCTAAAGACTTTACTCTGGTTATACACACTTAATGCTTAAGCTTATATTCAGTGAGACATTATGAAATGCAGTAAGACTTTTTGCTTAACTTACATTTCATAATATATGCAGATTTTTACGTTGCTCTTTCTCTTTTATGTATTAAGTGTATTCTTGTACTGACAATAAGTATTTTTAAAAAAGGAATGTGTTGTCTCACCATCTCCCTTTTCCCTTTCCCTTTATCATTTCTAAATACAAGGGGATGCGCGTGCACACACACACACACACACACACACACACACTCCTGTCTTCAAGAATCGGTGCTATATTAGAGAAGGCTGAGCACTATATACTGTTTCCAGCATTCCACCATTTCTGCGGCTTCTTTCTTTGTGACCCCTACTCAGAAAGATGCTATACATATAAATGGAAAATGAAAAAAAGACTGTCTGACCTAGCACTCTTCAGTGGAATTTTCTGCAGCTATGACAATGATCTGTGCCTGTGATGTTTGAAACAGAAGCCAGTGGTCACATATGATATTGTGCACTTGAAATATGGCTAAGAGAACTAAAATGGAATTTTTAATTTTACTTTATTAATTAAAAAAAAAGTAAATTTGTGACTAATATAAACCACCATACAGGTTACCACAGAACCAGTAAAGAATTCATAGCATCAGAAAGAGTGATAAGTAAATTGCACTAATCAGGATAATTCACCATTCTAAATACCTCTTTTCTTCATTGAGTCCAAAGTAATGCAACATTATTTTTGATAGATGTTAAGATGATCATCAAAAAAGATGAGAAAAAAGCAACATCCATTTAAAGCATTTGTAATTAATAGCAGAAATAATTATCTTTTCAGTACTAGATACTTTACTAGATACTTTCCAGACATATAATCTATTGGTTTCATAAGCATTCTGTGTTAGAATATAAAATTTTCCATTTCATTTAAGAGAAGAAACCGAGGGACACCAATTTAAAATAATAAAACCACAACTAATAAGAGGTAGGCCCAAGTAGGGTTCTTTATTGATTTATCTCATGGTGAACATTTCCTTCATCATCTTTTAAGCACATTTACATATTTCCCTAGTCATCATTAGGAAGTAAGGTGGAGGTTTAAAACTTGAGCTGTGGTACCTACTGCCCAACTAGAATCCTGCCTTCTACTAACCGGCACCTGTGTGAAGCTGAACAACTTAGTAAAGACCTCTGAGCCTCAGTGTTCTTATTTTTTTTTTTTTAAAGATTTATTTATTTATTCATACAGAACTGGAGTACAGGCCGGAGATGCGGAGGGTGAGAGGATTCACCAGAGACAGAGTGGGGAGCAGAACAGGCAGATCGATGGAGTACACTGCTGAGGGGAGCAGCAGGCGGGTCAGGAGAGGTCTGCCACGCCATGTGGTCACCTCCAGGGCAGGCGGGAATCGAACTCATGAGGAAGTGGCTTTAGATTCTCAGTGCTGTGCTTTAACCCGCTGCGCCACCAGGGAGGGCCCAGTGTTCTTATTTTAATGTGGGAATAATAAAAGCTTCCACCTCATAGGGTTGTTGAGAAAGCCAATTAAGTTAGCAGTTCTTGACATGTTTTTGAATCATGTATTTACCATCGTCATCATTTTATTTTAGGATGTTGATTTAATGAGATATTAATAGATGAAATAGAGAAATGCTTTGGGTGTGCTTCCCTAGGAAAAAGAGAGCTAATAATTCAAATAGTTCAGTGAGAAACATCCTGCTGTTCTGTCTCTTTGGTGTCACCATCATTGGGATTACAAAGTTTCAAAGCCAGGGTACCTTGACAGTTTTCATATCTTTACTTTTCATGTTATCCTTATAGAAGTCTCCTTTGGTGTCTTTGATTGGTTCTGAATGCTGAACAGTGACAAATACTAACACAGCTGGAAAGAGCTGTAAGATTTGCTCTTCTGTCTTCCAGCAGGGAATTATTGCCATGGATACCAGTATCAGAGGAAGATGGGGAGCACACTCCACTTGCCTCTTGAGTGGTTTGACATCTGTTTCTGGCAAAGGCAATAATGTGTATGCCGCTAGCTCATATCAAGTAGGAGACTGATCCATACCTCTTGTTTTTTTACCACAGATGGCCTCGACCCAAGATGCCAGGTTTGGCCAAAAAGACTCATCTGATCAAAACTTTGACTATATGTTCAAATTGCTCATCATTGGCAATAGCAGTGTGGGGAAAACATCCTTTCTCTTCCGTTATGCTGATGACTCCTTTACATCTGCATTTGTCAGCACAGTTGGGATCGATTTCAAAGTAAAAACTGTATTCAAAAATGAAAAGAGAATCAAGCTTCAGATTTGGGTAAGTGATTTTGAACTGACAGTATTCTTCAGTCTAAGGCATGGAACATATAAGTGTGTAAGGGAAAAGCTTTCTGCCTTGTTCCGTCTTCCTGGGATTCAGAAGCCTCCATTTTTAGGCTCTCTAGGCTGTAGGGCATTCTGTTTCAAAGACAGTAGAGTGATGCTTCTTTAAATTATGGAAACTGACTTATAAGTTGTCTAGTGATGTTGTTTAAGAGTCATTAGAAGAAAAAAAATCTGAATATCCATTGTGTGGTGGTGGAAGACTCAACCAGATGTCTGGCTCTGACTTTTATGATCTCTATGACCTGAAGCTTGTCTCAATCCTTCTGAGCCATCCTTATAATATACAAAACTGGCAAAGTGGATCCAGACCTTTTGGTTCCAGAAAGCAACCTGCTGTAGGCATTTTAAAGAAGAAGGTAAACAATCAAATATAGAGAAAGCTTTAGTTCCTATATAAAGCCCCAGACATAAATTTTTTTTATTTGATCAGCTTCCACTGACCCAGACATAACTTTTAACATGATCTATTTATACTTCAGACTTTGTGTTCTCAGTTCTAAAGGTTATGTTTATCCACACAGTCAAACAAAACAACAAATGGAAATGAAATATTTATTTTAATAAGGTTTTCCCTGAGCCAAAGTTACCCCAATAACTTTCAGTTAACTTTCTGCCTCTTCCTATGCTCTGAAGAAGATCACCTGTTTCTTAACTAAATTATCTTGATAAATTTAAGAACATAACAAGTGAGAAACAGTAGAAAAATGTGTGTAGTAGGTTCAAGATAATATAATAGATGAAGTAACCAAAAATTTGGTTTACTATCAGAGAATTATATGAGTATAGATAGTTATTTAGAATTACATATATTCAGCTATTTAGATTTTCTTATATGTCTTATATATAGATGTGGGTGTGTACATGCATGTATTACAACCTATGGATAGAGTGGTAGATGATTTCTATAGTTACTTTTGTTTCCCTTTTCCTAATCATTTGCACCTCTGCCCTGAAACTAATTTGAGTCAGAAACATGCCTTTACCCAGGTGTGTTTTCTACTTCCTTCTGATACAGTTACTGTATCTCTATCATTTGGTGCTGGGACCAGGGCGGATCTATAAGACCAGTGATAAGCCTACTTCTTCAAATACAGAAAGTTGAAAGACAGGTTTCAAAGTGCAACACTTAAAAAAAAATGGCTCAATATTAAAATATAATAATACTTGAGTCCAGTAAACTGTATGATCTTTAAATTCCTTGAAGTTCTTAGTAATATTTAAAGATGAATTTGAGGGCTCGTGGGTGCAACTTCTATGTCTTCTGGATTTACTGCCTTGCCAGCACTTTGATGTGTTCATTGACCTGGAAGGTCTTTGAAAGTCATCATTTAATATTTTTATGGAACTTGCTTTAAATTGCCATGATTGACTAAATCATCAGATGTTGGTGATTTATTATTGAATCACCACTGGGTGCCCTTTCCCTCCCAATGAGGCTGAAAGTTCCAACCTCTGATAATACAATTTGTTCCTCTAGCAGCCAGTCCTAATCCTGAGGCTAAGTAGATACCTACCAGGAGTGATCAAACCTCATTACTGCAAACCCTGGTATATGTGAAAGGGCTTATTACAAATAACAAAAAAGTTTCTCCTCACCCTATGCCTCAGAAACCTCTAAGAGTTTTGGTAGTTCTGCATCAAGAATATGGAGGAAGACAGCATCATGGCTGCTTATGTATTTCAATGAAAGAGAAGGAAAATCTGGTTTCAGATTAATGGAAAGCATCATGAATTGATCCAGTGTACTATGTATTATTACCATTGCCATGATAGGCTGCAAGTAGTGATACGATTCTAATCATTCTATTAATTCTAAACTGTCACAAGCAGACCTGTATCCCCATCAAGAAATTAAGATAAGAGAGTTTAGTGTTTGACTTTATTTCAAAGTTAGACCCAGAGTTGAGCCTAAGGTACAGGTCTCCTTGCCTTCTTGGCTAGTCTGTTTGCTGTTGTACCAAGGTCACTCAAGGTAAGTGCTGTGTTATAAAAGTCCTGATAGATTTCATACCTGTTTGTCAGTGGAATCCACTGGGTATAGGAACATCACACTTGAGACCAGATATCAAGTCTTATTTCTAGGATACCAACAAGGAAATGACTGTGTTTTTCTACTTGATGCACATGCTTGCATATATGGGGGGTTTTCTTAGTCCATAAGCTGAATTACTGGATTTTCCACAGTCCACATTTAAATTAAGCAATTTAATGGTTATTAGAAACACTGATATTTCTTCCTGGACATATTATGTAATGCCTGTCTATGAAAGTTCATTTCATTACCTCCTTGGAATTACTTGTTTAAAGAAATATGGATGACTTGTATTTACTTAAATTTTTTGTTGTTCATTAGCATATAAGTTCCTTTACTAATTAACATTTTTGTTGCATTTTCATCTTATTATTACTTTTATGATCCTCAAGTCAAAGTTCTAAAAAAAAAAGATTCCAAGTATATATTAAAAATTAATGATTTTTTTCATTGTAATTGTAGGAAAACTACTTCATGGCTGGGGTCTAGAATGTTTTGTTTCATTTATAACTTAGTTTGGGAAAGGCTATATAGAGTGGATTTCTTCCCCCACCCAAAAAGACTGAAAAATAACATATGACCCATTTCTATGAGTATCATGTATAATTAATTTTCAGTATTGTATAATAACATTAGTACTTGCAGCAGTTTGCAAAGTTAGAGAGTGCTGAAAATAGTTGAAATAAGACTATGTAGATAGCCATTCTTGATGTGTGGTTTTTCTGAAGATGTAAATAAATCTCCATTTTCAGTTGAGTCTCCATTGTTTCAGTCCAAAATTCAAGGGAGACTGTAAATAATGGAAGCCTTAGCTTGAAAAGCCTGTCGTTTAATTAGAGAATATAGCTTCAAGTGGACAGGGACTAGCAGACACAGGGCATTGCAATTTTCTTTAGAATTTGTGTAAGCATTTATCTTATTCTAATTTTTTAAGAGATCCAGACTGGTTGGTTTGCCTTTCAAAACTGAGCACCACTGAGTTGTTTATGATCTCTAGAGGTCAACTAACTCTGGAAGGGGTCATCCCTCCATGGTCCCCAGGTCCTTAAATGTCAAAGCAATAGGATACAGCAAGTAGAAGGAAGAAGCAGGCTCACAGAGCCTTGGGGCAGCATCTGGCACTAAGTGCACCCCACAAATGCTGTGATAGCCACCATTTCCATCAAAGCTCTATGCATTTCTCAGGACTTGGAGACCTGGAACATAGTGTCAGAAAAATAACTTACAGATTTTCTGACCTATCTCCTCATTGGATAATTTTGCTGGTAGTAGCAACATTTATAGAATCCAGATACTGACCCATAAAGTAAATACTTTATGCTTATTTGCATTAACTATTTTTTTCAACTCTCCCATGAAGGAAGATGGTATTATTAGCCACATTTATATATGCAGAAACAAAGAATCAGAAAGACAAAGTGATTTGCCCAAGGTCACAGCTAAATTATCAGTAGCTCTATCAGTAGCAAATTCTAACCAGGACATTCAATTAAAAGTCCAGGCCCTTGACCTCACAGTGTTTACACTGTCCAGAGATGACAAATGACTTATCAGAAATCATCAAGAGATCCAATTTGAACTCCTGCATATTTAAATTCCCTTATTTTAATACTTTTTGGGCACTATGTAATCACTCACTGATTTTCCATATTCCCCTACTATCTATTCCAAGAAAGTATTTATAGCTACAAAAAGGAATCAGCTGTTTTGTTTGAAAATTATTCACTGTTTGAGCAGGTTGCACATTATCTGTTTTGTGTTTAAAACATAGAGATAAACAAAGTAGGAGGGGCTGAAAGTTTTCAACTAACTTCTTGCATGTTTACGGTGTGCCTTTTATCTTCTACTGTGAGTGTGTATATATGTATATATATATATATAAAGTATGTAGATGGGTCGAAGTAAACTGGAATGAATACCTACTGGGAAGTAGTTCTGCTTATAATCTTTGCATGTTATTCATTTAGCCTATTTACCCTGGCACTGATTTCAGGAAGGTATTAAGCCAATTCCTTTAGCTATAAAGAGCCCCCCCCTTCACAACCCTCCACCCCATAAGTACCTTAAGAGAACTATTGGTGACAGCTGTCAACACCATTCCTGGTATAGTCATTTGAATGCTACCCTCCCCCTC